GTTGCAGGTGTATATCGCGGACGTGAAAAAAGTATTGAATCGGACTGAATTTTTATTTGACGAAGCCTTAAAGTAACTCTGCATAGGAAAAAAAAATTGTTTAATAAAATATTTTCTTTAAGCCGATCAAATATCAAGACAATGCTGCTTTAGCTCGTGTTTGACATACATTCTTTTAAAACTCATTTTTCAACAATATATTTTTGAATAAAATAATATTTTTCATCACATCAATAATTTTTCTCACTTTTTAACAATATATTTCACATTATATCATTATTTAAAATATATCATTACCTCATCAATATCTATCAAACACCCCCTTAGTACAATAAAATTACAACTCAATATTGGACGGTAGTCATTTCGTCTTTTCGCTCTCCTTGCATTCACAATGTCGCCCCTATCACATATCCCTTGTAAGTTGCATCACCTACCACTTGTTATATTTCGTTTTATGCATTACGTGGGGTCATCTCCTCCTCCCCTCTTGAACTATGGTGCTCTCCATGCCCTCTCCCAATTGCAACAAGTATTTCCATCTTTTTGTGTTCGGCTTCCTTTGCCTTGTCAATTTTGGTTTCTTCAATTTTTTGGTCATCACAATCCTTGATGTGTCCCCTATTTATGTGGATTGAAAAAAAAAAAAAGATGGGGTTGATTTTGACCAAATTGGGGATCATCTTGGCCAAATGAGTGTCAATTTCATAATAAAATTGTCCTTTTAAAAAAAATCTAACATATATTTGAACACGTTTCATATCACAATTTCTAATGTCTTTCATCCATGCCCAATTTGGACTCACGCATCATAATCTTCAAAAATAAAAGTTACCAAACATAAACTAAGAGCATCCCCACGCCAAACGCCACGTCAAATACGTAAACATTTCATTGTTAAAAGAAACTACTGGTAGATATTAAGAAAATATTAAGCTCGTGTTTGACAATTGTTTTTGACAAAAAATAAAAATAAAATAAAATTCTCAAACTCATTTTCAACCATATATTCTCAAAATAAAATATTGTGAACGTAAACAAAAAAAAAAATCCTACATTTTAACCACACATTCTTTAAAAAATCACTATTTCAAAACACATTTTACCTAAAAAAAATAAAAAACTCTTTATAATGGTTGTAAAACATATGCTAAATCCGGCCCATGTTTGACAATCATTTTTACAAAAAAAAAAAAAAAAAATTTACAAACTCATTTTTAACCAAACATTCTCAAAATAAAATATTATGCACGTAAATAAAAAAAACCTACTTTTTAACCACACATTTTACCTAAAAAAAAAACTCTTTATAATGGTTGTAAAATGAGGCTAAATCCGATGTTAAACAATTTTAGAATTGAATAGTCGAAGTTGAGCGTGCATTGCACGTTATTCTGAAATACTTTATAAGTGTTGTGAAAATAATATTTGACCATCCATTTATTCTTTTGATTTAAATGTGAGATAAATGCAAGCCTTAAAAATGATAATTATTATATATACATGTAGGGCTGTCAATTAATTTGATTTTGATCCAAATCTAATCTGAATCCGACGAAATTAATAGGAAATAGATTTAGGGTCTCAATTCGATAACTCGATCAAGATCCGAATC